GATACAGCGATGCTGAGGCTGTGCGCGCCGTTTCATATGTGGTGTGGACTACAGCCGGATGCTGGGCTGTGCGCGTTCATCGTGGTGGGGACTCAGCGATGCTGGGCTGTGTGCGTTCATCTGTGGCTGTGGATTACAGCCAACGCCGGGCTGTGCGTGTTCATCTGTGGCTGTGGACTACAGCCGATGCTGGGCTGTGCGCGTTCATCTGTGGCTGTGGACTACAGCCGACACTGGGCTGTGTGCGTTCATCTGTGGCTGTGGACTACAGCCGATGCCGGGCTGTGCGCATTCATCTGTGGCTGTGGACTACAGCCGATGCCAGGCTGTGCGCGTTCATCTGTGGCTGTGGACTACAGCCAATGCTGGGCTGTGCGCGTTCATCTGTGGCTGTGCGCGTTCATCTGTGGCTGTGGACTGCAGCCGACGCTCGTTCCGAAGTGGTTGAGGTGTTCCGCTAGAGCAGAACACGGTCTTCTGTTTGAATCCGTGGAGACAGAGTTCTCAGTTCATCGCAGAGGTAGCGCCTACTTGTTGCCCATCAGCATGGGCGGGACAGGTGTGGTGGGCCTAAGCCAGCAGGTCTGCGCCCCTCGGAGGCGCGTCCACGCACACGGCGCACGCGTGTGAGCACGGGGGGAGCATCCTTCCGTGCCGGGGTCCCGTTGCGGGGCGGCTTCCTCCCAGCCCTCGCTCAGTGGAAATCGCACAGGAAACGCGCAGCCCCTGCCTGCGGTTGCCAGGCGTGTCTGGTTTAGCAGCAGCAAACGAAGGGTTAAAATGAGAGGAAACACAGGCGGCCGCCGCGTCCCTAGACAGAGCTAGAAATGGCTCCGAAAAATCCATCAGTGCGCTCGCTCGCTGGGCCTTTAATTTGCCAGCGTTCAGTGAGGAGAAATAAACGCTCATGTCCGTGGAGGCGACTGTTGGAGCAAAGGCCGGCGCTCTTCTGGGGCCCTCGCCGAGGGGACGCCTCCGTGCGTGCCGCGCTCAGAAGAGTTCTGCTGTTTGAAAGTCAGCCTTGAACCTGTGCACATTTCTACTTCCCTGACTGCTCAAAGCACACCTTGTACCATCCGCACGCATTTCACACGCACCCTGAAACCACTGCCGGGGAAGGTAATGGCAGGTCTCCAGGGGGTTACGAGCAAAAATTTCACATGAAGCCAAGGTTAACACTTAAAGTAGATTCAGTATCTGTTTTCATCTCACGAAAATATATAGAAAATTTTCTTTGGGTGTATTTTAAAATGCTGGATTTCTTTTCCATAGTCATTGACGCATTTTGCTCCCCTTCTCCTCCCTCTCTGCTTCCTCTTCCTCCTCCTCTTCTTCCTCCTCCCCTTCCTCCTCCTACTTCTCCTCCCTCCTGTCTCTCCCCCTCCTCCTCTTCCTCCTCCTTCCTCATTTTCCTCCCTTTCCTTTCCCCCTCTGCTTCCTCTTCCTCCTTCTCTTCTTCCTCCTCCTCTTCCTCCCCCAACTCCTCCTCTCTCCTGTCCCTCTCCCTCCTCCCCTTCCTCCTTCTTCTCATTTTCCTCCCCCTCCTCTCCCCCTCTGCTTCCTCTTTCTCCTCCTCTTCTTCCTTCTCCTCTTCCTCCCCCTCCTCCTCCTCCCTCCTCCCCTCTCCCTCCTCCCCGCAGACAGCGCAGACGATCCTGGTGGTGGTCGTGGTCTTCGGGGTGTCCTGGCTGCCGCATCACGTCATCCACCTGTGGGCGGAGTTCGGCCAGTTCCCGCTGACGCCGGCATCCTTCCTCTTCAGAGTGGCCGCCCACTGCCTGGCGTACAGCAACTCCTCGGTGAACCCCATCATCTACGCGTTTCTCTCCGAGAACTTCAGGAAGGCCTACAAGCAGGTGTTCAAGTGCCACCTTCGCACGGAGTCGCCTGTCAGCGGTAACAGAGAGAATAAGAGTCGAGTAGACACCCCGCCGTCGACCAACTGCACCCACGTGTGAGGACGGCGAGAGTCCCCGTCACCGACCCAGGGAGGAAGCGCATACCGAGTGACGCCGCGGCTTGCTAGCCTAGCAGCAGCTCACGGTACTCTAACTGCGTTTCTCTTGTGTTAAAAAGCGCTTTGATCCATTTAGGGAACCCCAGGTCATGTGAAGATTATTTTTCAATTTTACTTCATTTCCAAATCGTATTTCAGAAACGAAAGAAAACGCTCTACGGTTTTATGCCTCTTAAGAAACGGAAGTCTCATAGAATGCTACAGACACGTTCAATTCTTCATAGAATCAGGACCGGTCCCATAAATATGGTCAGGAATATTTGCAAGTCTATTTTTTTTAAAGCAAATTTGTTTAGAAAAAAAAGTGTATGATTTAATTCTTTAATTTTAAGAGAAGAAGGACTATTATAGGCCATGTTTTGAGATACGATCATGGACACACAGTGAGGGACCGTGTCTTTCTGGCCGTGTGTGCAAAGACACCTCTCCTCAGCGGAGAGAAGGCTTCCTGCAGCCTAGCGGGCTGCTGTGCTCCCGCCTGGAACAGCACGCACGGCCTCCGGACACCCGCGGCGCCTGCCTGCCCACACGGACGCAGTCAGTCGTCTCCAGAGTCAGCACAGCCTTGCCGCGGTGACCCTGGGCACCGCCAGTTAGGAACCGCCCTGCGACCGTAGGCTTCGAACGGTTAAGGAAGCAAAGCCAGAAGGAAGTGCCAAGGGCAGCTACGCTAAGAGTGGAAGTTGTGAATGAGATTTTCAGAACAAAAATGGGTATTGGAATTTTGTGCCTGTGCTTGGCAGAGGCGTGAGCTGTATATACCTGGAATGGAAGCGACTCAAAAGAGACAGTTAAAAGAGCCAGCGAGGATGATGTGTAGATTACATAATAATTTCACTGGGGCCAAAGACTAGACAGTCGGTCACGGGAAGTGAAAGTCATGCCACGTGGATGAAGCGTTAGCACGCGTTGTTTGACTTAGATAACACGTGAAGAAAACAAATCTCGTGAATGGCTATACCTAGCGATACCTTGTACAAATGCATGTTTTTCATCAAATTTGTGATTTAACGTTTAATGTGCATCTCCTCCAAATATTCACTCTGAAAAATGTTAATTTGGGGTTAAAACCGTCACCACTTGAGTTTCAAATGTAGTTTTCATGACAATTTCATACTGATTTGTGTTAACAATGAGAAATGGCATGAAAATATTAAATTATCCTATATTAGAAAAGTAATTTTCAGACTGCAAGACTTTGATACATTTCATCAGGGCACGAAGGCAAGAAGACTTCTTTAAGAAGGATTTTGTGTAATGTACACCTGTTTTGGGTCAGGACTCCATATGAAATATCAAATTTTAGATAAAATCACAAACTCAATGTAAGCCTTTAGCATGTTGACTTTTCTAGCTCATGGATTTATTTGCACTAATTACATTTCAGCGAACAGTGTTTACATTTGTAATGATATAAATAACTCTCTGGATAGAAGAAAATTGTTAGAAAGGACGGTGGATAAATACATTTTCATGTTTGTTGGCTGGGGAAAGAAGTTGTGCATATGTGTGAGTATTTTAAAGAACATTGTTAAGTGCTTTGCACGAAAAACTTTTTTGCACTTTATTCAAATATACGAGCAGAGATATTTTATCCTGAAAATGATACCTCATGTGATTGTGGAACTTGAAGTTGCCATTGCAAACGCCAGAACATCTTCTTTGTGTATGAATTCGTATCACTGTGCAAGGAGGCGCCTCCTGGTAGTGTTTGAGCTCGCGTGAATGAGAATCATTTCTTGCACTGTGGCTGTTTCTTGTTCTCTTCTGATTCGTAAGCGTATAAATGGAAGCATTAAAAAAACACATTAGCTTCAGCACGATGCATTTGCCGGTGTTTATTCCCTTGGTCCTTCCCAGACGCTATTGGCATGTCAGAAGCTGTAGACCCAGCCCCGCAGTAATAACTAGCGCTTGCAAACCCCAACTTTGCTGCATGTCAGTGCCAATTGCTACATTTATAGTTATGTAGGGTCTACTTCCTGCGTGGTCATTCTAATCAGTTTCTCTTATTCATAGTGTAGGTCAAGTCTACTTCTAAAACACATTTTGATACCGATAATGACTTATATCCTGCAAAGATCTAAACCTACATGAAAGTTTATGAATGAGGAGCGCCAGAAGAACTTGTAATAGACTTAAATGACCCAGAGAAGTCTAGGAGGAGTGCCTCTCCTCTGCCAAACAGCTGCCTCCCACGTGGTCTTTCTCCCTACACACGATCAACACGGCCAATTCGGAAGCACCCCCAGTTTGTCCCTAAATACAGACAGCCTCCCAGATGCACACTTTTTCTCCCAGCAGCCAGGCTAAGAGAGCACTGGTGCCACGTTTTCAGTTTACTTCAAAGAAAATTGATGCTTTCTCTTTAGGTTTGGCCATCTCGGTGCCTCAGTCCGCCAGGCAGCTGTTATTTTTCTAGGCCTTTTGCTTTCACACAAGCAGACAGGCTCTGGAATATCTAAATGCTGAAATGCTTGCTGTTTCACATGCATAAGCAACAATTCCAGTTTCCTTCTGAAGCAGAGAGGGACATGATTGGAAACCCGTTCTCACCCCGCACTCCCTGGGGATGTGTTAGGCAGATTCTCTCCGTGCCTCTCTGACCCCGTATGTATGTGCTCAGCAGCGTGGGGGACTGAGGTCATTTCTGCATACTTTAGGTCATTTATTCTTGCCTTTAACTAAATTGTGCTGTTTCCCACATTGGGAGTACAACCACCATTTCCCGCCCCTTCCCAATCTCCTGTGTTTTTGTCTTTTTATCTCAACTCACTTCTATCCAGACTTTTTCACTTGACTATTTGCCATAGTGAAATTCCTCCTTCAGCCCAGACACAGGGAGGCAGAGGGGGGAGGACAGACGGTCCCCGGATTGCATGAGTCATGCAAGACTCAGAACCTGTGACTCAGCTTTAGACTGTGATGTTGCGGGTTATTGCATTTGCTCAGTCCTCTCGGATGCTTTGAGACAGTCAGAGATAATTCCAGTGTTATCTGAAAGCCGGGATCAGCCTGGCTCTGAGCAGGAGCCAGAGCCCATCCAAGCAATCATTTCCTTTCCACACCCGGCCGTAGACGCCTGCAAGCACCGAGACATTGAAGCGTTGAAGCAGCGCCACATTGAGTAGAAGAGCCTGTGATGCAGAAGGCTTTGCTATAGATGCTCATAAACCACATAATCGTGTGAATTGGGAAAACCTGCCAAGGTGGCTACTTCCTCTGGAAACTTACTGTCTCAAATCTGTACATTTTGGTTGCCCGTTTCTCCATGTTTTCAATTTGTAAGTGGCTTTCTGTAAACGGCAATCACATTCTTCTCGGCCATTAAAAATGTTGCGTATCAGGCTATTTCTCAAGGAGATGTTAATGACTTGTCTAACGAACCACTTGTCTGTTTTAAAAGATCGTATTAATATATAGTAAGAGTAGGTGGCCCAAAATTCTGATAGCTACTTGTTGGCTTGGAAAGAAAAGACTTACCAAGTCGTGTATTTGTATTTGATTTTAAGTTAACGGTATTTGAGTATTTTTTTTTTCTTTGAGAAGTGGAAACATTGAGCCTGAGGAACAATTTAAAATGCTCGAGACGTCTTTGCCGTGGGCTGTCTCTGTTCGAGTCGGGCGGCGCGTCTAAGGAGAGCGCGTCGTGCATCCCGATGCGTCGTGGGGCACCAGTCGGGACGTTCTGTCCATTTGCTTTCAGGGGCCGAGGATCGTAGGCGGAGGTTTCTTTTCTTCCATGGCAGTTCCATGCACTTTCATCCTCGTGACTTCAGCTGCCGTCCTGGGTCCCGCAGCCGCCGGCACATCCGAGTTTTGGTGGGCTCGCCGCCAGGCACGTGGACAGGGTCTGCGCACCTGCTCCCCTGCTGGCTCCCGTGTTCCCTGCCCCGGCTCCTGGCCCCCTCTCCCAGCTCCTGGCCCCCTCCCCCTGTGTCCTCAGCAGCCACTGTCCCCACGCCTCTGATGATTCCTGCATTCTGCATCAGGTGCAGCAGTATGGGAGTGGCCTTGGGAGTGAATGGTGACAGTGAAGGGAAGGCGGCCAGTGGGGTTGTTCCTTTTACGGGCACTGTGGAAATAGCCTCGGCCACATTTTCTCTCTACGTCCGTTTTAACACGGGCTGTGCCCGCCACGTCTGGGTGATTCTATGAAGAGCCAATCTGATAACTCAGGTTTTGATGGCGCTTTGGGGGTGGAAAGTCTCACTCATCCTCTTCGCTGGAGAACAGACTTCTGTATCTTTCAAGGCACCTTGTGTAGCTCTACATTTCCAGCAATGTCAGAAGTCAGAGTGAGAGATCCCCGGCTGCTGGGCCGGACTGGAACCGGGCTCACCACTCAGGTTCTTAGACTCTGAGGTGGTGCTGACCAACACCGCAGCCCTGATCTTGCCGTGAATCGCGTGGTCTGCCGTAGGTTTTCTGTGTGATACCACACACTACAGCACGGCGTTACAAAAGGTTGCATGCTTGCTGGATATTGATTATGAAAACTGGAACTATTGGTGCCATCATTCTAAAGACGACTGTGACCTGTCTAGCTCCGTGTTTCCTTCAGTGAGATTGTTCTGGGCGATGCAGCCAGCATGCCATGTAGCGCGCCGTGTTTCTGCGGCTGGCACCCAGCGCGGAAGTGTCATTAGCGCCGTTGCAGCGCGCTGGGCGTCACACCTTGGGCACCATGAGGTGGTGGAGACAGTCCTGGGACTCCGATCCGGGTCTGCCTGGCCCGCTCTGCTGACCAGCCACGTGAAGGAAGAGGTTTCGTCACGCCTGGAAATGAGCGTCATTCCCTTGGGACGTCCGCAGTGGGACTCCAACCATGAAATCTGAGGCTTTCGGGATGTAACCGGCTTACGACCAGCAGCTAAAGTGGATGGGATTGTTCTAGATGGCGTGGGGCGTGACTCAGGGCTGGTTTGCAGAGCGCAGGCCTTGGACCCTAGGACTCCTGTTGCCCTGCGGTGG